AAACATAGCTATGCATTCCTTTTTCGAAATCATGCTTTTTTCAGAAAATTACGAACTTTTTAATATTTTGAAATTCTCTCAAAATGTGACCTTTTAGAAATGAATCAAAATCTACGCATAGCGTAATGAGGATTTAACTTAAAATATTAAGTCAATGAAAAAAATCCCGATAAAGTAATTTGCCTGGGAGCCTTTGCATTTTTTCAGTATTAGTCATATGACCATGGGCGTGGCCTGATGACGTCATCACTAGTGTTACTGATCATGAAAAAGTTAAAACACATTAAATAACTCTGAACTAAGTAAAAATGACAGGATTATGAGAGGATAAATTTTCCTTAGCAACGGCTTAAAAAGATCCGTTAATGGGCCCTTAAGCTAGAAATTCAAATCCTGTGCCCAAGATAATCGGTTACGGATCGAGACGGGGCAGAAATGGAAACCAAGAGCTGGAAAACCAGCGATTCTCGGATGGTTAAGGTAAACTTTGGAACCTTGAGAGAAAGCGAATGGGAAGAAGAGTTATCGACGGCTGCCATGAGGCAATTTTGACGAGATTAGACCATTTTTGTGGAATTTACGGAGCTTTGACTGCGGGCCGTCGGGCCAGTGGGTCGCCCGCCTTTCGTTTCTCTTTAGGGGAAGCAAACCGCCAGAAAGTAAAACTCGCCTAAATGGCTCTAAACCACCTCCAGGAACCCAGAGACATCAAAATAACGCAATGCAAACACAAGGTAAGCCATTTCACTCAAATTATTTTCTACACGTAGCATTTAGAGTAATTTTCGAAACATTCTCATACATTGTCTTGTAAACGGCTAAAATTGTAACGCAATCGCCAACAGCATAATGTCACGTATTAAACGTATTCAACGTCTGGGCCGCCTGTGCTGGAAGCCGTTAACAGTTAGTGGTTAGCGATACGCTGCTATTCTGGTATTCCTGGTTTTAGTACATGTTCATTAAACTCGATTTGGCCACAGTAGGAAAATTTTGCTTTCATTTCAGTCGCGTACTTGGCAACTTAGTTGATTACGTCAATGCCAGCCTTAGCGCGTGCGTGGTGGTTAAACCATGCCTTGCGTGATGCGCAGAATGTGTGCGCACTAACAATAGTAGGCACCGTCCTTAACTACACTAAGATGAGAATTTATGAACACGAACAAACCTCAGCGACTAGAACATCACAGTCCAGACCTCTGTTAAAATTCTCACAATCTCCTTTCACACCAACCTGAAGAACATGGAGTTTTTTGAGTCTGATGAACATTTGAACGAGCAGCAATTTGCAACACTAAAATAAGTGGTACAAGACACGAACAAAAGCGTGTTAAAGTAAGAGAGCTGAGTGACGGTCTAGATATGGAATTTTCACTGCTGTTGAAAAGCAATGTCTAGCTACCGGTTGTAGGTACTCATTAAAGAAACAAACCAATACTTCCAACTTGCTTGTTCTTTCAAGAAGATGGAAAGGAATTAGAGTTTTGAAACCAAACAATGAACTCTGAACCGAAGGGATCAAAGAGAAAAAACACATTTTCTAGATCACTCCAATATGACAAGAACTGACGTAAGCCAGAAGCACTATCTCACCAGGCAGTGTTCCTTTCCATGATTAAGCCAGTGCCCAGTCCTTCCCGTTCTTATAAGCCGTTGTAACTGGCTTGCTTTAACCCAGATTAACTCATCACACCGAGCGTAAATGTTAAACAAAACTCATCAACAATGTCAGTGTTTTGTGAGAACTTCTTCGACGAGACATTTTACTCTTTAGTGTTTGCATCTACTCCTCTCTCAAGGAACATTTTTCGCTAACAATGACAACTGTGAAGTATTTTGAGCAGCGTTTGGTCAAAACGTTCCCTTACGTGCAGAGAGGGATGAGTAAGAATTCTTCAAAAAACTTCAACAAGCTTCTAGGATTACTTATCAATGAGCCAGTCGTTTTGACGTTAGTGGCAAAGAGATGTTTTCGTTCGCACAGCATTTACATTAGTATTAAAGTGAGCACTAAGTTAAGTTCAGAAGCTGCCTAGCATATATACAGGTGTATTGTAATTGTTCTTCGATTACGCCGTCGGTGGTTGGACGCCGGATACCACTGTCCCGCGTTGATTATATTTTTGGTGACTTTCATGGATTGAAACGATATCGTTGGACCTAAGTTCTGAGTGCTGTTGATGTCTCTGAAGATAATTCCCCGTAACA